TATAAAACTGAATCAAACCAAAGTAAGGCTTTTAAAAATGCCAAAGTGTTGGTATCTGTCAGAAATCAGTTAAATTGATTTATGTGGATGCTCTGAGTAAATAAATTATATTGACTTTGGTGATGCCCTTATTGGTGCTGTAGTGATGCCAAGAAGTCAACACTTAGAGTACTGACTGGGATGAGAAGGCAGTTGTTTTATTTTATTATTAAACTATCTTTCTATCCCCCTCTCCCTGTCAGTGTGTGTATGGTGTTTGAGTGTGTGCAAGTTAACCACGCCTTGTGTTTCAGAGGCGGGTCCTCCTTTTTTCTCGCTCTTCAGCTCCCACACCTGGGATGACTCGGCTGCTCTCTACCTAAGGTGGAGGATTTGATTGTTGATTGTTGAATTGCAAACAGTTAGTGGAATTGTCTCTTATGAATTCTTACGTTTGTCTGATTTGGCGTTTGTTTTCCTGTTCCTTCCTGTACATGAAACCTATTTTATGAGTTCTGCATTGAGTCCAAATCGGACACGACAGGAAGACCTGTCTTTTAAGCTAGAACACTCTGGAATAATTCTTTGGTTACTTTAACACTCTAAAGCTTTTTTCCCCCACTTTTCTTTGTTTTTGTGTCTTGTCATCTTTTTTTTTCAGTGTGTTCCGCACTTTGGTCTTCCTCTGTTGTTTTTAAATTTGCTTATGAATAAATTAACTTGACTAATGGCAAAAGAGCCCAAACTGACAGCAAAATATGTTACAAACATGAGTAGTAGTAAATCTGGCAAATATTTCATACACACTCAAACCACTGTGACGGTAGTTTGAATGTATATGAAAGACATAAAGTCCATCTATCTTCTTCTGCTTACCCACTTTAGGGTCGTAGAGGAACTGGAGCCTGTCCCAGCTGCTATAGAGTGAGAAGCGGGGCACACACACTGGGCAGGTCGGCAATCTGTTACAAGGCTAATGGAGAGCACCATTTATACTCACATTCACACCTATGGGCAATTTGAAATAGCCAGTTAACCTGACTCTAGTAGCTGCATGTAGGAGTCTGAGTACACAACAGTATACAGGGATATTACACAAAACTACAAATATCAATAAGGAAGGGGACAAGAAACATGTGAAAGTAATCAAGAGAACAGAGTAAATAGGAAGTAAATCCCATAATACACTATCAAGGCAAACAGGAAACAATCCAAAAGACATATTACTGAATACAAAGTCGAACAAAAGACCGAGACAAAGAGACTCTGGAGGGAGGACAAGGGAAAAAATACAGAAAGACGAGACAGTGAAGGGAAAACACAGGGACTGAATTCAAAGACAGCACCAGAACTGTAAACCATCTAAATCCGCATCCAAAAGTCTAAAAAACAAACAAACCTATAACTAGAGCTTAACTACAACAAGAATAAATGCTTAAAATTACTCAAATTATAATTGAAATAATTCAAAACCTCAACCTAACAATAATAAAAATCTTAAGGCTCTCAAAAAGCAGTGAAACCAAACACACTTAATAATCACCATGAGTGCCAAAGATAAAAAGTGAAAGTTTTTAAGTAGTCCATCGTGAGCTTTAAGGAAACAAGGAAAAAAATATGTCAGGCTTCAAAGTCAGATTTTCAGTCAGTTTGAAGGAAGGAATGAATAATAATGAAGAAATATGTGATGTGTAAATGTGGATGTTGGAGACTTTTTTACAGGGAGTGCAGAATTAGTAGGCAAATGAGTATTTTGTCCACATCATCCTCTTCATGCATGTTGTCTTACTCCAAGCTGTATAGGCTCGAAAGCCTACTACCAATTAAGCATATTAGGTGATGTGCATCTCTGTAATGAGAAGGGGTGTGGTCTAATGACATCAACACCCTATATCAGGTGTGCATAATTATTAGGCAACGTCCTTTCCTTTGGCAAAATGGGTCAAAAGAAGGACTTGACAGGCTCAGAAAAGTCGAAAATAGTGAGATATCTTGCAGAGGGATGCAGCAGTCTCAAAATTGCAAAGCTTCTGAAGCGTGATCATCGAACAATCAAGCGTTTCATTCAAAATAGTCAACAGGGTCGCAAGAAGCGTGTGGAAAAACCAAGGCGCAAAATAACTGCCCATGAACTGAGAAAAGTCAAGCGTGCAGCTGCCAAGATGCCACTTGCCACCAGTTTGGCCATATTTCAGAGCTGCAACATCACTGGAGTGCCCAAAAGCACAAGGTGTGCAATACTCAGAGACATGGCCAAGGTAAGAAAGGCTGAAAGACGACCACCACTGAACAAGACACACAAGCTGAAACATCAAGACTGGGCCAAGAAATATCTCAAGACTGATTTTTCTAAGGTTTTATGGACTGATGAAATGAGAGTGAGTCTTGATGGGCCAGATGGATGGGCCCGTGGCTGGATTGGTAAAGGGCAGAGAGCTCCAGTCCCACTCAGACGCCAGCAAGGTGGAGGTGGAGTACTGGTTTGGGCTGGTATCATCAAAGATGAGCTTGTGGGGCCTTTTCGGGTTGAGGATGGAGTCAAGCTCAACTCCCAGTCCTACTGCCAGTTTCTGGAAGACACCTTCTTCAAGCAGTGGTACAGGAAGAAGTCTGCATCCTTCAAGAAAAACATGATTTTCATGCAGGACAATGCTCCATCACACGCGTCCAAGTACTCCACAGCGTGGCTGGCAAGAAAGGGTATAAAAGAAGAAAAACTAATGACATGGCCTCCTTGTTCACCTGATCTGAACCCCGTTGAGAACCTGTGGTCCATCATCAAATGTGAGATTTACAAGGAGGGAAAACAGTACACCTCTCTGAACAGTGTCTGGGAGGCTGTGGTTGCTGCTGCACGCAATGTTGATGGTGAACAGATCAAAACACTGACAGAATCCATGGATGGCAGGCTTTTGAGTGTCCTTGCAAAGAAAGGTGGCTATATTGGTCGCTGATTTGTTTTTGTTTTGTTTTTGAATGTCAGAAATGTATATTTGTGAATGTGGAGATGTTATATTGGTTTCACTGGTAAAAATAAATAATTGAAATGGGTATATATTTGTTTTTTGTTAAGTTGCCTAATAATTATGCACAGTAATAGTCACCTGCACACACAGATATCCCCCTAAAATAGCTAAAACTAAAAACAAACTGAAAACTACTTCCAAAAACATTCAGCTTTGATATTAATGAGTTTTTTGGGTTCATTGAGAACATGGTTGTTGTTCAATAATAAAATTATTCCTCAAAAATACAACTTGCCTAATAATTCTGCACTCCCTGTATATAAGGACTGTGCAGCATGGCATTAAATATAGACCTCACACCTAAAAGCTTCTTTCAGGACACAGAGACACACACACAGTAATGCTGTGAACTGTCATCTGGAGTGCAACAGTGGTAGATTGGGAGGGAAGCAATTTAAGACCAAAACACCTGAAGGGAAATATACCTCCACACACACACACGTAGACACACACATACTCGCACATACACACATACCCCTTCTCTCTGAGCTTCGATGCCTAGCTCCATGTGGTTGGCATGGAAACAGAAAAACTCCCCCCAGATGAAAATGAGATGCCCCCAATACGATTCACGTGGGAGCACAATGGGAACATTAAGATGAGGAATTATAGGAATAACATCCAACATGCTAATGCCTTTGATAGGTCTTCATTGTCAGTCTTCACATGAGGAGATTTAAATCAGTCCACATGTTAGACCCCACCGAAAAACAATGATTATTCCACATGTGTCAGAGCTTATTGTTGCTGTTTTAGTATCTAAATTCTTTTGTAAACCCACAACAGCGTGAAAAGAGTAGAAATCTCACCCTGAGGCAAAGTATCGTCTGAGTCATACGTGTTAATCACCCCCATCAGCCCCCACAGACTGCGGTCATTTAGAGCTGCAGGGCAGCAAAAGTCTTACTCATAGCATCCTTCAAACTCCCAGGCAGACCAAAAATAGCTGACAATTTTGGGAGTCTGCATGGCAACACAAAACATACTTCTGGTATATGTGCAAAGTTCCCAGGGAAAGGGTTTTATACATACATACATACATACATACATACATATATATATATATATATATATATATATATTTATATATATATATATGTATATATATATATATATATATATACATACATACATACATACATACATACATCTCTCTCTCCCTTCTCTCCCTACACACACACACACACACACACACACACACACACACACACACACACACATATATATATATATTCCTGAAGACTATTGAAAGAAATTACAGGAGCGCTTTGCTAAGACAGTTCAAGCTGTGTTGTTTGGCGGCTCAAGACTTCTGCACTGTATATTGCTATGTTGAGCCCCAAATCTGCCAATAAGTTATAATAGAATCACAGTACAGTAATTTCTTTAGAAAAAGCAATGGTAGAGGGAGATTTATATATTATATATCTAAATATATAATTATAGATATATTTAGTCATTTTCTCACCAAGTTTTCACGCTTTTTTTCTCCAAAATTTGCCACTTTAATGTGAAAAAACGTTATTTTTTCATGGATTTTTATACCCACCAACGCCATGCCCCTTAATTTTTTTTAATACGTTGTTATGAGTACATGTCTTAAACTGTAGTTTAAAATACTATTGGTAAAAGTATTTGGTCTACCACTAGGTGACAGTGTTTCACTAGGTGAAAGTGTTAGTGTGCTTGCCCTTAGTGGGAAACAAGAAAATTGCTTACTTGTTGGGTCCTTCTGTGGAGTTTGTATTGTTCTCTCACAGTCCAGAAACATGTTCATAAAGTCTGATGGAAATAAATCAGCCAGTATGAGTCTAAACACCTCTCTGTCTTTCTTTGTGATGGACTGGTAACCTGTGACAGCAGGGAAATGTAAACTATTTACAAGCAATAAAAAACAAAACCCCATTTTATACACTTAGCTTTTCTAATGCATTATGTCTAAATATTTTAATACGCGTTCCACTAACTCTCAAGAGTCGGGATTTAACAGAAGTCCGTGAACGCCGCATGAACTCTCGGCGGTCCCTTTGAAGTGCAGTTTGTGGCTGGAGCTGAAGCTGCCCTCGGAGGTAACAATTAGCTTATGTTAAAAAAAAAAAGGTTTCTGTATAATGATATTATAATTTTCAGGCTCTAAACAGGTAATAGCGCCCTCCGGAATAGTTGACCTACGAAATTGACTTTTAAAACCTCAACTTTCAGTCTATTCTTCTGATAATTCACCACGGGTTTTTTCCCCTTCTTAACCTGGGATAGGCTAAAGCTCCCACCCCCACCCGCCGCCACCTTGAACTGGAAAAAAAGTGAGTGAACATCCATTACCCTGTAATATAGTCATTTTAACTCGTGTTGCTAATCCCCAGATTCAGTTACACTGATCGCTACAATGTTACACACTCCACTTGTACTTAGAATCTTCAAATAAAAGTAAAGATAGCATAACCTTGCTTGGTCCTACAACCATTAAACAGTTTAGTTTGAAACGTCGGTAGTAACCAGTTATATAGGAGCTTACTGATTTAGGCACCATAATTTATAATAAGGTACAGAAAGGGGAAGAAACGTGTGGAGAAGCACACGAAATACTTCCATTCAGTAGGTTTCAGTCGCTGATTCGTATCATTCCCCTCACCTTTTAGGATGGAGTGAAGTGTTAAAGGCAGGCTAGAGGATGTGAGTAAAGTTCCCCCCCCTTCTTCAAATCCAACAAAAGTGGTATCAAACGTTTGTGCTACGTTTGTGCTGGTTTGTGCTGCAAAAATTTTCTTTTGTGCTGCTATCATTTTAAAGATATTAATAAAAATTTCTAGAGGTCATCAGAGGTCAACCAGCCCCCCCACGTTAATTAACCTCCTATGAGCCGAACTCTTCCACGGCATTCATTTTTAATTTCTCTTTGATATTTGGGCATATTGGGGCTCGATGAATGTAAAAACAAAGAATTACCAGATTTTATTTTTTTTACCTTATTTTTATTTTTAAGAAAAATAAGAGCCACATATGAGGATATTCGTTTAAAATTTTGATAGAACTGTAGCAGTATAATGTCCTCGTAGGTGGATATCAGGCCCTTCTAGAGCAAGATTGAGTATTTTGGTCTAAATAACCGAAAATGTGATGTCCACATATGTGGACGCCAGGTCCTAGGAGGTTAAATCAAACAAAATGGGTGTCAATCAACTGTGCTACGTTTGTGCTGCTAAAATTGTTGTTTGTGCTGCTTCTGTTTTAAAGATATTAATGAAAATGTAAAGGTCAAAGGGTCAACCAGCCCCCCACCACCACATTACCCAAATCAAACAAAATTTATGTCAAACGTTTGTGCTATGTTTGTGCTGGTTTGTGCTGCAAACATTTTTATTTGTGCTGCTATCATTTTAAAAATATTAATAAAATAACGTCTTGATGCATGCTTAATCATCCAGGTAAGTAAATCCCAAAAGGTTGATACTGTTCATCTGGACATTTTCAGTTGGAGAAACGTCACTCATCCAAGTGACTTCTTCAGTCTCAGCTGACTGCAGGTTTTCCCAACCTTATAAACACATGTGAGTGAAGTTGGCCCCCCTACCTTCTTCAAATCGAACAAAATGGATGTCAAACATTTGTCCTGCAAATTATTTTTTTTGTTCTGGTTATGTTTCCCTAATTTTATAAACAGTACATGTACAGTGAGAGAGAGATGTTACATCTGTCTTCACTTGCATCCCAGTCACGGAAGCGTTGTAGGTAGTTCATAAGAGATTACAGGATCACCCCAACCTCAGCAACAGGACCACTCTCAGCACTGATCAGTTGTGTTTGCTTTTGGAACTGTGTCTTAATTCCACCTATTAGGCAGAAACCTAGGTGTGTCATGGGTTCCCCCAGGCCCCTGGTCAAAGTCACCAAACCAGTTCATAAGCAGGTACAGGTGTGGCCAGAAGGGTCCTCAGAGGCACTGCAAGACTGCTTTTCCACCACAGGCTGCCACACATGACAACACCACAGACTTTCAGGAATATACAGAAACTGTCATTGCTTACATCCCAAAATGCATCGATGATGTCACAGAGATCCCTTGCCAAAATCAATACACGCAAAGCTCCAGGTCCTGATAACATCCTTGGACGAGCACTGATGGACTATGCTGTGGAACTCCCAAATGTCTTCACAGACATCTTTAACACATCACTAGGGTCAGGCCGTCGTTCCCACATGCCTCAAAGCCTCCACCATCATTACTGTACCCAAGAAGTCATCTACCTCCTGCTTTAAGGACTACTGTCCTGTCAAACTCACCTCCATCATTATAGAATAGAATAGAATAGAATAGAATAGAATAGAAAACTTTATTTGTCAATTTCTTCAAATGTACTTGCCATACAAAGGAATTAAAATTACGTTTCACACTGTCCCATGCGTAGACATTGACAACAATAAAGTGCAGATGCACAACAAAAAACAGCCCTAACAATAAGGTAATATTAAATAGGTAACAGGATAGACAAAAAAATAAATAAAAGTGTTCCAACAGTGTTCCCTGGAAAATAGTATACTAGTCTACTTGAGGTAGTCCCAGGTTGTGGTTGGTAGGGGTATTTTGTTTTAATGCAGCATAAGACTATAGCAGCAGTAATAGTAATATAATAATACAAATAGTGCTAAAAGAAATACTAAAAATATATAGCAGCAGGTGTGTGCAATTGCAATGCAGAGGTAGTTGTTTCCAGTCAGGAATGTTTTCCAGTTCTTAGTTCAGAGAGTGTTTCCTTGTTGGAGAGTGTGCGTGGATGGGGGTGGGTGGGAGGGGTAGAGTCCAGTCTGTCTTCCTATACTTCTGCCAATCTGGTGATTCTGCTGGCTGGGAGCCAGGAGGGAAGAGAGTTCAGCAGTCTCACAGCCTGGTGGATGAAGCTGTTGGTGAGCCTAGTAGTGCGGGAGCGGAGACTTCTGTATCTCTTTCCAGAGGGCAGGAGGCTGAACAGACAGTGCGCGGGGTGGGTTGCATCGTTGACAATTGTGATGGCTTTGCGGGCGAGGCGAGTGGTGTAAATGTTTTGCAGGGAGGGGAGTGGTACACCAACTATCCTCTCAGCTGTTCTCACAATGCGTTGTAGAGCTTTCCTGTTATAGTCAGTGCAGCTACCGCCCCACACAGTGATGCAGCTGGAGAGGATACTTTCAATAGTTCCTCTGTAGAATGTGGTCAGGATGGGTGGTGGAGCACTTGCCCGCTTGAGTTTGCGCAGGAAGTAGAGGCGCTGTTGTGCTTTCTTGGCCAGTGATGCTGTGTTAGTGGTCCAGGAGAGGTCCTCACTGATGTGGACCCCCAGGAACTTGGTGCTGCTCACCCTAACCCTTATTAAGTGCTTTGAACGGTTAGTCATGCATCAAATCAAATTATCGCTTTCGCCCAACCTGGATCCATTTGAGTTCGCATACCGAACTCAGCAACTCATTCACAAACTGGATCTGCTGGGGATCAGCACCTTGCTGTATAACGGGCTGCTAGATTTCTTGACAGGAAGACAGCAGACAGTACGGGTCGACAGCAACACCTGCAGCCCAAGAACACTGAATACGGGGGCTCCCCAAGGATGTGTGTTGAGCCCCCTTCTCTTCATTCTGCTGACCCACAACGAGATCTACTACAGGGGTGAAGTTAACCATCTTGCAGAGTGGTACAGCAACAAAAACCTGCCCCTGAATGTGGAGAAGACCAACAGTGACTCTACTTCCTCTGCAAACTGAGAAGCACAAGAGATTCAACCCCCATTATGAGCACCTTCTACAGAGGCACAGTTAAGAGTATCCTCACCAGCTGCATCACTGTGTGGTATGACTCCTGCATTGGGTTCTGCAGGAAAAAATGACAACGGGTAGTGAGAGCAGCCGAGAGCATTGTGGGGACCTCTCTTGCCTCCCTCCCCAGGAGATCTACTGCACCTGCCTCATCTGGAAGGTTCTCCTGCAGTCAGCTGAGACTGAAGAAGTCACTTGGATGAGTGATGAAATGTTTCTCCCACTGAAAATGTCCAGATGAACAGTATCAACCCTTTGGGATTTACTTACCTGGATGATTAGGCACGCATCAAGACGTTATTTTATTAAGATTTTTAAAATAATAGCAGCACACACGAAAATTTTTGAAGCACAAACCAGCACAAACGTTTGACATGAATTTTGTTTGATTTGGGTAATGTGGGGGGGCTGGTTGACCTTTTGACCTTTACATTTTCATTAATATCTTTAAAACAGAAGCAGCACAAACAACAATTTTAGCAGCACAAACCAGCACAAACGTAGCACAGTTGATTGACACCCATTTTGTTTGATTTAATTCATGTGGGGGGGCTGGTTGACCTCTGATGACCTCTAGAAATTTTTATTAATATCTTTAAAATGATAGCAGCACAAAAGAAAATTTTTGCAGCACAAACCAGCACAAACGTTTGATACCACTTTTGTTGGATTTGAAGAAGGTGGGGGGGCAACTTCACTCACATAGAGGCAGAGGTGGCAAAAGTATACACATTATGTACTTAAATAAAAGCGCTGAAAAAGGTACAGATTCAAATTCTTTTCTCAAGTAAAAGTGAAAAAGTACAGGTTCTGAAATGTACTCAAAGTAAGAAAGAGATAAGATAAGATAAGACTTTATTGATTCCACAACGGGGAAATTTTTGCGTCACCTCAGCTCAGGTACAGACATCAGAAGGAAATACAAAAATACAAATAAGTACAATCAATGAAAAAAAGTAAGATAATACACTATATACAATGGTAGCATACACAGTATGTGATTATGGATATGGTTGGAAATATGGAAGACATAAACTATATAGCTTGACATAACTATTGTACCACTACTATTCCTATGTATAGACATGTACACACACACATGTACACACTAAATATACATATGCATACATATACATATATATATACCTGCACATGTCCGTACACATGGAAGGTCCATTATGCATGAAGTGGTGACCGTGGATGTTCAGAGTCCAGTGACTTATGACATCGTGATTGAGGAGTTATAGAGTCTAACTGCTGTTGGGATGAATGATCTGCGAAAGCGCTCCTTCCTGCAGCGAGGGTGTTTCAGTCTCTGACTAAAGGAGCTGCTCAGCCCACTCACATACTCATGCAGTGGGTGATGTGGGTTGTTCATGATGGATGTCAGCTTTACTAACATCCTCCTCTCGCCAACCACCTCCACAGACTCCAGGGGACATCCCAGCACGGAGCTAGACCTCCGCACCAGTTTGTCAATCCACTCCCCAGCAGGCCACTGCATAGAAAAGGGCAGATGCTACCACAGTGTCATAGAATGTCCTTAACAGAGTCCTGCAGACTCCGAAGGACCTCAGTCTCCTCAGCAGGTGGAGTCGGCTCTGGCCCTTCTTATACAGGATGTCTGTATTTGTAGTCCAGTCCAGTTTATTGTTGAGGTGAACACCCAGGTACTTATAAGAGTCCACTATCTCAATGTCTTTCCCTTGGATGTTCACCGGTGTTGTAAAAGTAAAAGAAAAACTTCATTTCAGTCTAAATTTTTAATCTCATAAATGTCTTCTGCTTGAGTCACTAGTAGAACATGAGATGGTGGCCACACATCATTGCTTCTTATCCCTTCTGAGATATGTTTTAGTTTAGTTTAGTTTAGTTTTTTATGTGTTTTTATCACTGCTGGCACAATGAGACTGCGCCTGCAGCCTTTCACGTTGCACAAGTAGTCCCGCTCCTCCCTGACACCACATCCACGCATGTTGTTGCAAGAAGGTTTGCTGTGTCTCCCACTACATTCTCAAGAGATAGCAGGAGAAGTGGTGTTACGTGACAGGAGCTGGTCAGGGCTACAAAATGACATCAAACTAGCAGCAGGACCAGAATCTGCCCAAGGAGCACTGCTGGAGGCCTAGAAAAGGACCTCCAGCAGGACCAAAACAGGACAATTCCCAGCCTCATGTGGCGTAAGGGTAAAGGCAGTTCTTGTATAATGAAGGTATTCATTTCACTGATGGCCCTCATGTTCCCCAGATTTGAATCAAATTAAGAATCTGAGATGTTACGAGCATCCAAAGCTGCCAAAAAGCACCACAGAGTTCCAGGAGCCCATCAGTGACCTGATTTAGCTCTGAGAGGAGCCTGATCTTTCGACAGTGTCCCGGAGGGTCTTATGGACATGGGGTCCATAAACATGACTCATCCACATTATGGCACAAGTTTGATCAGCCTCGGATTTCAATTTTTAATGTTGTTGGTATGATTTTGAAAACAGTCCTCAAAGCATTGCTGATTTTGGTTTCCAATGACTGTTGTTACCTATTAATCTTCTCATCAAATTATGTAATGCAAAGTATTCAGGATTCTTTGAGTGTCGTGTCTCTTTCTGATATAATGTAAAGTGTGGGAGAGTTTGTGTAATGCTTTAGGCTCTTGGTAAGGCTCTAAACAAAAACATAGCACACTTAGTGATATGACATCAATATTATTGAATGGTATGTTTGTCTTTGCTGTAATAAAATTAATTCGTTATACAAAAAAGAACCATAAACTTGGTGTATTTGAGAATAATCTACTTTCCTTTTCCTGTTAAACAGAATCATGATTGACTTTGAGGAGACAGACTTCATTTTGGAAAATCAGAAAAGAAAAAGAAAAAAAGATCTCAAAAAAGACAAAAAACACAAAACCAACATGACTGTGAAACCACAAGAGAGCATCCAGAAGAAAAAGAAAAACTCCCAGCTCAAAGAAGAAAAGAAGGAAAGGAAACAAAAGAAAAAGGAAAAGAAGAAAGAAAGGCAAAGAAGGAGACTGGCCTTAGAGCTAGGCAGCAGTGTTGTATTTAAACAGTGCGGTAGTGCCCAGGAAAAACCTTTTGAGAAGCCTGAAGCATCAAAGCCGCAACAAAATGAAAAGCTGAAGCCTGATCGTCTGACTCAAGACTCCAAAAAGAAATGCAAAAGAAAAAAAAAAGTGGTGTTTGAAGTGTCACCCTGTTACATCCGTGTCAAACGGCCTAAACTTGTGTCATCCTCCACCAAAGAGGAGGCGGCTGTGAAAGGCGCTGAGAGCTGTTCACAGGACGCAGTGACGGGGAACAGCCGCGATCAGGACTCTCAGGGCACCAGTGATGACATCAACAGCCAGGACTTGTTTATTACCCAGAAGACTTTCAGAACATCGCTCTCCGAACCCTCCAGCGGGGAAGTCAATGCCCTTATGCTATCTCCTCAGGTGCGAACACAGCAAGGCGAGTGCCAACAGCTTAAACAATTTCATGAAGAATCAGAAAAATGGCCACATGACTCACAGCCTCATCAGCTCTTTGTGCAGCCAAACCCAGAAGAACCTGAAGAAGGTAAAGGACATCATAAGATACATAAGCAGAGAAAAAAGTCCCTTCTGAAACAAGAAAACGCAAACTTATCTGGAGAGCAAAGAGTCTCACGTTCAGTGCATTTAAAGCTCAGTGAGGGGCATCCTTTCCTGGAGGAGCCAATCATTGTCGACTCCTCCCTGGATCTTGGAGAGCGTTCCCCTTCATGCCTGCCACATATTAATAAGTCATTACTTCCTGCCAGGTCCACAGTGAGCTCTTCCACACAGACAGAAAACTTCTTCACCACTGAGCTCTCCTCCTACCTCAGCTTCTGCCAGAAAAGTAGACCAGCTGTTTGTTTCGATGACGTGAAACCTTTAGACCTGAGCCTTCCACACAGGGTGAGAAAAGACCACAGGAGCTGTTTGTCAGTAATGGAGGTCAACCGTGAAGGAGAAGGAGGCATGGGTCCATCTGGGTCTTCACTTGTGAAAGAAAATCAGGTGCTTTTGGGTCGAGGAGAAACAACTCCCAGTCCGCAGTTGTCAGAATCTGATCAAAAGTCTGCTGATACAACGACATCCAGCGAGGACAGCGAGCAGCCGTGCCGCGCTGGCAAGCTGGACCTGATTCAGGTGATACCACATGATCCTATTTGTGTAGTTACAGAGCAACAGATGATAAATTAATTCATCTTACATATTGAACTTTATATTACAAACTTCAGAGCTAACACCAGATATCTTTTTATGTGTTTTTCAGCTTCAAGCCTCTTGAAATCGCAGTTCTCTCTTTTTTTTCACAAAAATACTGAAAATACTGGCGTAAGATGTCCCACTGATGGGAATTCTGCTGTTTTATCCTGTTTGTGGAAAAAAAATGTAATGTACAGCTCTTTTAGGAGATTACTGGGAGATTTAAAAAAAATAAAAGTATGACTGTAAAGATTAGTTTGTGGAAGATTTAGGTGTAAGAACCATGATAAAATATGAAAAACAGATTTAACAGTTACAAATTATTGATATTTATTTTCCCATTCTTTGCCACTCAAAGCCTATCCTGTATCCTATTTTTTACTAAAAGTATTCAATATAAACACACACTCACCAGCAGAGTGGCGGCAGGGGCAGTTAACCAGCTCTAAGGACACTCTCACGCTAGTAGGGACTACAGGTGGGTTTTGATTATCGATTTATCGATTAAAATCGATTCTAGCTTGGATAACGTGATATCGATTTATTAAAATGCTGAATCGATTTTTGAATATAAATTTATTTTGCCCGAAATGCAAGAATCTCGGGTTAAACCTCACAAAATTTCAGCAACCACCAAACAGCTAAAGCAGTAAATAAGAGCAGGTACACGGATTCTGCACAAAGACGTAAACACAAAGCGCGGAGATGTGGCTTTCTCACCCGACGGCACGGACACGGTCGGGGCTGGAAGCCGACAGCTCGCTGATTCTGATGTTTCGGCGAGTCCGCGCTTTGTGTTTACGCCCTTTTTGTGCTAGATTCAGAAGCTGTAGGTTTTTATCTCTCTCCAAACAATATTGACTGAACCAGCAGCAAAAGAAGATCCAAACTACACTTCACACTAAACATCGTCATGAATTCCCTCCCAGTTTTGCTGTTTTGCTTCCACCACAATAAAATCACACTTCATGCAGAGCTCGCTCGCTCTCTCTCTCTCTCTCTCTCTCGCTTGCTTATTACACACAAGTCTGCCGTTGTTTACAGCGCTGTCGGCCGCTGTTTTTTCCCCCCTTTTACTCGCTTCTGAAAAGAAAGCCTCATTTCTGCTGTTCAATTATGAACAAATTTAAACTTTTTAAAATTATGCAAAATTGCAAAACACTTAGCTGTGTTGCAATTCTGTAACTTTGCTCTGCTTCACTTCAGCAGCATCAGGTAATGTTCATGTGTTGATTAATGGTTCTCTTTCGTTTTGATCTACTGCAGAATATTTTTAAGGTCATCTGCTATAAAATCCCAGGCCAGGAAAATCTCCTTCATGTTTTTCTGTGTTACTTTGACACAAAGGCATCTGCTGTGATGCTTACACCTTTGATAAAGTCTCGCAAGTGTCAGCTTTCTTTTTATAGATATAAAAATATGGAAATGTACTGATGCGTGATCAGAATTATAGTATTTCTGACTGAGGCAAAATTTCCCCGATTAAAATCGAATCGAATCGGATTGAATCGAATCGTGGATCGAATCGATTCGGGACCTTGTGGATCAGAATCGAATCTATTCTAGAAATCAGTGACGATACCCAGCCCTAGTAGCGACCATTGTGTTGTTCAAAGTTTTAGGAGCAGGGGTTGCTCAGTAGGTAGCGTGGTGGCCCCATGATTGGAAGGTACCTGAGCAAGGTACCGTCCCTACACGCTGCTCCCCAGGCGCCCAATGGCTGAGTGAATTGGTTAAATGCAGAGAGGAATTTCCCCACAGGGATCAATAATGTATATATTATTATTATTATTATCTTTCAATCAGTGACAGACGTTCTTTGACTAGTTCCAATAACCAAGACTAGAAAACCATTGTTGATATCGTATGTCCAGAGCACTAATAAGGATTACGTGCATGTACGCTGACTTCAATATTTGAGGCCATGTTGATTATGAGTAACACCTTGTAAAAGTACATATATAACACAAAATAAGGATAAAGATAATATGGTCACCTTTAATGCTTTTGTTTAGGACTCTTTTGACAAGTTGCAAAAATTAGTGTCACGTAGATGTCCGAGTTGTTGGCAGGGCCGATAAAAAGTATTAATTCAGTAAGGACTAGATGTTACAATGCATGAAGATTCATTCACTTTTTTAAACATCTCTCAATCTGTCAGATTTCTCTTATCACCCTTAAAAATACTGGTGACCAGCAGTGCTACCCCTCAGCCTCCTAGTAGACACACAACTAGGAGGCTGAGGGTATCAAATTTAGGCATCTTATTGGGGGCAACTCATGTTCAAGAAAGAAAATTATCCAGGGCTGTGCATTTCAGTTGGTTCGTGTATTTTGACATTATAAACACTTAAGAATTTCTGTTTTTGCTGAGCAGTAAGAAATATTTATCAGGAGAAAAGGAGTAACTGAAGTTTCTTCCACTGTTCAGTAACACTGTGACTTTTTTTGGTCCTCAGGTCAGAGCGGTCCAGATGAAACTCAACGAATCCTTCTTTTTCAAACCCAAAGGAGAGGGACGGTCACCCAGGCCTGAGTCACCGCTGATGAAACTCTCTCAGGGCAGAGACACTAAAAGGAGGAAGAGTCGCTGAGGTCACAAGGTTTTAATATAGGCTGCTATTAGCCCTGTTGGCTGACGTCAACAAATAAGATGTGACGTTTGTGTTGACGTTAGTGGCCAATAGTTATCTGTTCAGTCATATCAATTTCGTGCTGACTAAATGTTCAGAATTTCATCTGAAAGCCTTTAAAAACTTTTATATAAGATTTTTTTGCTTCCCTGGAACAATTAAATGAAATCGTTACTGCCACACGAACAAACAAAGAAGACTTTAAAAAAAATTATTTAACACATTAATATGGACCTAGAACTTCACAATTGGAGCATGCTTAAACTTTCCTAGCAGACACCATCTAACGTCTGGAAAACTGTTCAATTTTATGAGCTTCAGCTGAGAAGCAGCGTGTGTCAAGTGTCGAGCATTCCTGCTGAAACTCAGCCTGTGCCTGAGGGTCTTTAAGTAGAAGGACAGCTACATTAACACTATCAGTGAGCTCAGGTATTTTATTATATATGCTGTAAAGTTCTGATCTACATTATATGGACAACAGTATTGGGCCACACGCCTCAGTTCAGGTGTTTTCGGTCCCATTATCATAAGGTTAAAACATCATACACCCAGATGTGCAGTCTGCCTTTACAAGTATGAACATGGTCCTGCAACATCAGCACAAACACTGTGTGCTGGGAGCTTCGTGGCTGAGCAGCTCCTGTACATGTAACGTGTAGCTGTACGTTTATCCAAATACTATATGTTAGGAACATGAACAGAAGAAACATGCTTCCATTAAAAGAAAAATAAACTTCTGGGATAGAAATGACTGATTACTGTCTTTTGACCTGTTGTTCTAAAGTTTTTAGTATTCTGTCATGTTTTTTTAAATTGCTCTGTAAGTTTGTCCGGCAGTGGCAGTTTTTTGATGCCATGTCGCTATGACAGCATGTCGTAGTTCATAACATCATAACAAATAATCTGTTGTTAAAGTTTATTTATTGTGACGTAGTAGAAGTTCACTTTCTGTTGAGTGTTGATGCAGTATTTACCAAGTTCTTAAATGGTGCTAAATAAAGATCTTTATTATTTAAGTCTGTCTGCCAGCAGAGTTTGTGTGTTCTGCTATGAAACATGGAGAATATGTGAAG